CTCCCTCCCCCCCCCCTGTGGCGGCTACAGCTGCCTCCGGAGAGGGGCTAGTGAACCGACCGGCGCCCAGCCTGCCCGGGCCATGAGCAGCCCCCGAACCTGGGACAGAGCCAGTCAAGGGGCACTGAAGCCATTTCCTGGGCATTTGCCAGCCCCAGGTACAGACTGTCAGGTTCTGAATGTACCGTGTCAGTCAACGGGCCCGAGTTTAAAATTTGCTTTAACTATTTCATTGGGGTGCTGCAGACGATTATAAAATCCCATCTCTAAAAACTCATCCCCCCCCTGGCTGCCGTTGGGTCCAGGGCCACCAGTGTGACAGCTCTGTCTGAGGCCCCCTCAATCCCGCGGCTGGCCCTGCCTCCAGAGGGCCACAGACCACACTCGCTGGTAGCAGGCGCCTGAAACATGCTTGGCTCATCGATTTCTTCAACACGGACTCACAGAACACTGGGACTGGAAGGGACCTCGAGAAACGATCAAGTCCAGTCCCCTGCCCTCACGGCAGGACCAAGCACCGTCCAGAGCAGGGCTACTCAACACGCGGCCCATGGGCTTCATGTGGCCTGCGGCCCATTTGTTTGCGGCCGTGGGGCGGTTTGGGTTCACGCAGGCTCAACACGGCGCCCACTGGGAACACACTTTGGACACGGCGCCCACTGGGAACACGCTGCACAGCGGTGAGTCCATAGAACGGGCTTCTGCCGAGATGAGCCTTAGTAGTTAAATTCCTGGCCTGCCATTGCCCATAAACTGGATTGATATCAGCAGAACTGACTTAAATGGGGCCTGCGTGTTGTGTAGTCTTGCCTTCAGCTTTGTATTCTGCCCGTCAGTGTGAAAGAAGCTGTTTGCACATAGTTACATGTATATGCAACCACACATGTGCTGTGACTGCAGTGCTTTTCTTGTGATGGTACAGCCCAGTCGCAGTACCGGCACCCCCAGTCAGAGCTCAACAACTTTTCCCCTGGAGTACCAGCACCTTTTTTTAAAAAAAAACAAAAAAATCACTGAGTATCACTGTGGCCCCATGGCTACCCAAGTTGAGTAGCCCTGGTCTAAACCAACCCTGACAAGTGTCTGTCCAACCTGCTCTCAAATATCTGCAGTGATGGAGACTCCATAACTTCCCTGGGCAATTTATCCCAGTGTTTAACCCCCCTGACAGGCAGGAAGTTTTTCCTAATGTCCAAACTAAACCTCCCTTGCTGCAGTTTAAGCCCTTTGCCTCTTGTCCTGTCCTCAGAGGCCAAGGAGATAAATGTTCCCCTCCTCCTTGTAACACCCTTCTAGGTACCTGAAAATCACTATCATGTCCCCACTCAATCTTCCCTTTTCTAAATTAAACAGGCCTGATTCTTTCAGTCATCCCTCATGGGCTCATGTTCTCTAGACTTTTCATCATTTTTGTTGTTCTTTTCTGGACCTTCTCCAATTTCTCCACATCTTTCTTGAAATGTGGCGCCCAGACCTGGACACAAGACTCCAACTGAGGCCTAACCAGTGCAGAGTAGGACGGAAGAATGACTTCTTGTGTCGTGCTCACAACACTCCTGTTAATGCAGCCCAGAATCATGTTTGCTTTTTTGGGTTTTTTTGCAACAACGTCACACATATTTAGCTTGTGGTCCACTATGACCCCTAGATCCCTTTTGGCAGGACTCTTTCCTAGACAGTCGCTTCCCATTCTGTGTGTGTGAAACGGATTGTTCCTTCCTACGTGGAGCACTTTGCATTTGTCTTTATTAAACTTCATCCTGTTTACCTCAGACCATTTCTCCAGTGTGTCCAGGTCATTTTGTATTATGACCCTATCCACCAAAGCACTCGCTACCCCTCCCAGCGTGGGATCATCTGCAAGCTTACTAAGCATCCTCTCTCTGCCAATATCTAAATGGTT